TCGGAAATGTTTAACAATCATCGGGCGCGTGCAGTGTGGAATGAGTTAATTTGTATTGGAATGGGGAGTAAATTGGTAAATGTGGAAAGGTGTCCGTGTGGTGGGTAGCAAAGACTGTAGTTTAGGAAATCCTCGGTTAATTGATCCCTGTGTTTCAACTTGCAACCTACCATTTGTAATCCAGTCTAAAACCACTATATCATACAGCCAGTTCATAATTCATGTTTCAACGTATCATTTGGGCAATCATATTAGTATATATGGATACATTGAAATACTTTTGGGAAAACTGCCCAGGTTTTAAAAATAATTTGTACCTATTATGGGTACTCCCACCTCTACCAAGATGTCTGGTCAGCAGGGAGATCAAAGTACACTCTCTAGAGCTCCCTCCAATGGAGACTCTTCTGCCAGCAGTGGCGTGAGAGAGCAATTTCAGGGCTTGTACCTTTACCTTTTTATACACCTTCTACTATATTAATTATAGAATGAGAAAGAAGCGGTGATCAAAGCGATGGTCCTTGTAAGCTCACGTCCTTCAAACAGTGGTTTCTGGCCAAGGACACATTATAATGGTCATCTTATTTCAGGGCCATTAAAAGGCGAGAAAAAGCTTCATCAACTCAGGAGCACACATGCACTGAATTTGAAGAAGCTAATTTTATAAAAAGGTGGATAATATTCTACGAAAAATAATGGAAGACAGCTGTGCAAGTCATTCGTCGAGTTACATTTATCATTCTTGATAGGTTCCCTTGGTTTGTTTATATGGGTCTTAGTGGTCTTAATAAAAAATATATCCTTTATTAGTTGAGTTTGTAAAATAAGCTTGTGGTAATCTATGTCTTAATACTGTTGTTCAGGTGTTTATTGGGATATTTCATTTGTAGATAGTTACAAAACGATCACGGGCAACGCTTTCATTTCAGCATACAAAGCGCATATTCTGTGACTTTGAACACGGCACAAGACTTAATTATCAACGTCTTTTCCATTTCTGGGTGGCAGAGTTAGCATTTATTAGCTTATGTGTGGGCCAAATTTATAGTGGAAGGCCTGGTGATTATACATATAAGTTACATTAGGTAGCAGCATCTCCCTTTGGTATAAACTAAAACGCAAAATTGGTCATATATAGCATGTGAGCAGCCAAATAAGTGAAATAGCATTTTGAAAAAATATTCAGTACAGTTAGATTCAATATTTTGTATGAGTATATTTTATCTTTCAATGAAATACGTACATCTTAAAAGATTATTTTATTGCATGTGTCAATGTTTTGTAAAAATGTATACTGGTTCCCGATATATGTGCATAGTAAAACATGACAATACAACAATTTGGCAGCACAATTTAAAACAATGTGAAGCGTGAACAATATGGAAGTGTTTTTCACAAGAGGCAATTGTAGCAATAAATGCAATATTGTGAAAGTTTTGTCATGCTCAAATAAACCATAGGTGGATTTTGAGCCCAATTGATAAGTGAGCATTGTATGTGTTTTTATGGGAGTTCCATTGGTAATAACTTTCTGGAACATCACTCCCTCCCCACCCCCGATTCATGAGCAAATTGTCTTCAATTTGCCAGGGGGAATGAATGATCATCATTCCAAATCGAACGTGGCAGTCGATGTAAAGTTAGGACAGGGCAAGGGGATTACAGAATTGCATCAAATTATGTCAATGTGTTATACCCTCCCCCACTCCCCAGGTCAACAGTTCAGCAATCAAATGACTGGTCAACCTCGCACACAAACATGGCAGAAATCTCCTGAATAGCTTATTTTAGACTATTGGGGAAGGAGCTGTTAACAAGCACCTCTGCTAGGCTTGGTTCAGTTTCAGTTCAGTTTATTTCGAAGTACCTTGTGAGCTAAGAAGCTCTTAAGTCGGGTTTCATCAATAAAAGCACACAATTTCCATGACAGACATAACACATCAGAGAAAAAGAAATGAATACAAATGAATAACTAAATTAAAAAACGTAAGAAATCGTATAATTTCAAATGTAAAATTTATCTTTTACAATTTTTAGCCAATTCAGGAATCAAAAAAGTGCATGGTTAGGCACATGAGGGTGGTGTGGCCACCACTATTCACGACTATCTTTGTCTCCCCAGTGCTGTTCAGGCTATATGGGCGAACTTGGTTCCTTATCTTTTGTATATTGTTTCAAAGTCAAGATTGAGAGATTAAAACAGTCTAGAGGCCAATCCAGCCGATGGAACCAGACCTCACCATCACTTCTGTATGGTATTGCAATTGTTGCCCCGGTCTCCACCTGTCTTTCAAGGATAACTCATCATCACCTAGGTCACTGACTTCTGGGTGCCACATCAATGCCTGTCCTGGCAACCCGCCCTGGTGGTACTAATTTGATTGATCTTGGCCAAGCTGGCTCCCAACAAGGGTTTAACCTTGTGGTCCGATTGTGACATCAGTGCTCTGACCGCAGCAACAGCCAGGGGTGCAAATTCCACATTATGCTGGTGGGAGATGTTTTTTTTTATATTATATAGGACTCAAGTCCGATACTTTTAGTTTTTAATACATATAAAACTCAAGCCTTATCAATCTTTCACACATGTCCAAGAAAACAAAGTGGTACTCATTTTAACAAACCAAGCGGGTGTTTTGGTGAAGGCATGAGTTAAAACCGCTCTATCAGTTAGGTCGTGTGGTTTTGTGGCAAAGTCATTGGCTAGTTTTTTTCCCATAAAGTTCTGCATGGGTGGTGCAGAATGAGTCACAAATACACAGAGTGTACCCTTAAGTGACCATGCCACCCAAGGCCACTCTAGCCTCACAACCTACCGACTCCACATTTTGGAGTTAGGCCTGGCAGGCAGACTGGAGTCTGCGATTGAAGGGAATGGTCCTGCATTATTGGCCTTCTATGCAATCAGGCTCTCTGCAACAACAAAAACACTGTCATGCGCCCAAAACAGGCACATTTCAAATTAATAAATTCCGACTATTGCCAAGCTTTGTGCATCCACTGTTCCGACTAGACCACTGCAATTAATTATTTGTTGGCATTCTAACTAAACATTTTACGAGATTGCAGCATACACAGAATGCATAGGCAAGGATGATTCGTGTTGGCAGCTCTCTGACTCAGTGATAAAAGTCCATATCCCTAAAGTACAAACCACATTCTCCATAAAACAGCCGCTGTCGATTCCTACCAGTACTCAGTGGCTCTCATTTAGCCAACGATGAAATAATTCGAGGCTGAGTTGACCCTGGCCAGGCTCCAGAACATGTGGTTTCATTATTGTAAACTTGCTGCGATATCATCTGAGCTATGATCAGGCAAGCAAGGAAGAGTCGATTTGTTATATAGGGATGTAGGAGAGCTATATAAATGAGTGTTTCATTACAGCACTGGGGGTCATGGTTTTAATATGAGGTTGAAAATGTTCTGATAGCAGGTATAGTTAAATCATACGTATAAATCATACATATAAATCATACGTGACCGATGTATAAAAAAAATTGAACTTAACCAATGAGTCACCAATATATAGTTTAAAACTAGATTCAATAAAAACAAAATCTGGGGTACTATTTTTGCACCAACCTTTTTGCTATCCTTATTTGTCTGGTATCAGAGGTGTTTATTGGCAACTAAAAGTATTACCTCATCAGATACTTTAAGTTTTCAACACCTTGTGCTTAGATATCAGAGTAATGGACAGTCAAGGCTTTTCACTTTTATTTGAGATGCCTGGGCTGCAATAAGTAAATAAACAATGATTACCTTATGTTGTGGCATATTACGCAATGCTTAATAAAAGCTAATAAACTCGATTTGGTGCTTTCGTGACTGCAGGAATTAATCTGGTTTTTTTGGTAAAGTCAGGTAGAAATAAGAAAAAATAAAATTACATAATATAGACGTGTCCATTGCAACACAAGCAATCATCATCAGGTAGAGGAAACACATAACCGCAGATATATATACAGACCTTAAATAGAGGGAATTAACACAGATATACCAGGGGATACAGAGAGACGGAGCATCACACTAAATCAAACAGGGTTTAGCAAAATTTGGAAACTATGTAAATAAACACAAACGGTCAATTAAAACACAATTAACGCATGGTCTGGTTGAATACACTATTTAAAAGATTGTTAAATTGTAAGTTGAGTGTGAAATTTAAGATAGTGATAGAATACATACCGTAGAGACCTATGGGGGTAGACACGCACACAGTTAAGAGGTAAAGCAGCTCTGTACCGAGGCCTTAAATAGCCAGAGATGGAGGGACTGGGTGCTACGTTTTTTAATTAAAATTTTAAATTAAAATTTTGCCCAATTACAGTACATCCCATGTGTACTTCCATATTTCCCTGTAACAACATTGACACATCTAGTTGTGGAACATGAAAGTGAAACTTTAGGCTCTCTCAAAATCTTTCAAACGTCTACCTCATAACACCACCTTACCCTGCTGTCTGTTTGGCAGATGGGATAGTTATTTGGTCTGCCTTGTTATGTGCCAGATGCATTTGTGACTGAATGAAGCCATTTTAGTTTTTTGCGCAGATGGTTGTGGACTGGGCTGAGAACACCAATGTTTCTACACTTGAGAACCGTTTTTTTCCGTACAGCAAGTAAACCAGGGCTAGTGCCCAAGATAATCAGTGGTACTGGCCCAGTGCTTTGAGAGACATAATGAACATTAGTCCACCAAGCCATCTGGTCACATTTTAGGTGCATGTTTTTTTTTCTATACTTGTAGTAATGATACCAAACTGAATTGATTAAAACTGCTTGAGAGCAGCTTGTGTTTACATAAACCACTAAAATAAGTGTGGTGATGTCATATTCTATTGGACAGCAACAGCTATCCACAAATGAACAATATACAAGTCCCGCTGGAACTGACACATTTCATTTTTTTCCCAAAATGCAACAAAAAAGTGTTAATGAGCTCCTACCTGTTTTAATGTATGAGTAGTGTTCAACACAGAGGCACACACTCTGGATTGGGAGGCAACACTTTTATTTAACAACTTCCCTAGCGGGTAACACTGAACGTAACTCGGGTTCAGGAGGTGATATGGCTAACGATGTGAGTAGCGAGTTAACTCTAGACAAAGACCGGGAGACGACGAGACGCGGGACCTAGGCTTGATTCCACCGATGAGCCAAGAACTCTCTCGGGACTGCCCCTTCATGCTCCTGAGCGTGGCCTTGCTCCACTTTCAGCCACGCCCCCTTCGAGACCTTTCCCATAGGATCTCGACCGAGAATCACGATCCCTCTCGGGTTTACTCAGGCTACCACATCCTCACTTGCCCTCTCTCAGGCCAGCACCAGGGCTATGCCCCCTACGGCTGGCTGACATGCCGTACTTACTCTGGTGCTAGAGAGAGGCTCCAGACGCACAGTTGCACCACTGTAACAGTAGCTGGCCCAAACACCCTAGTGACACCATTTACTTCACTACATCACCCCCCCCCCCCCTTTCTAAAACACAGCCGTCCCGGCTGATCACTATACCCTTAATAACAACAGCAACAACCAACAGCAAAAAATAAGCCTCCTAAAATTTTCTGTGTAACAATAACCAAAAACCCAACAACAATAAAGCAAGCAGCAACTGTCACCCAGACAATATGTACATAAATGGAGGAGCCCCCCAAAAAAATATTTCTGAACACATGACCAACACAACTCCCAGACAATGTACACCACCCAACACCCGTAAGCATGCCACAACCCACAAGCACATGAAGGACCAAGTCCAACCGGCAGCACAATCCGGCTCGCGTGTGTGTGTAATCGTGTGTGCGATCTCCAACGGCGTAGGGATAAATAAGACGGTGGGGAAGGGTCATTTCAACGGGCGGACTTGAAGAAGGTCCAATGGGTGCGGCCTCTCCCGGGAAGAATAACAAATGGGAGAAGCAGGAATGGGCGATGGCTGCTCCACTCTCCCCAATTCATGTCCAGTCGGCGCAACCGGCGACTCCAAGGTTACCAGGTGCTGGGATCCTGTGGGCGGAAAACCCGAAAACCCCTGAGGCACGACCTCCGCAGACACACGCCCCAGCTCGTCGGACACATCAGCCACCCGGCACTTGGGTAGTGGGGATGAAGGGATCCCGCCCGGCGGGGGAAAAAAATAACACGGTTTCCGACGCGTTGGATGCACAACCAACACCGGCGATGGAACTGAATCCGCACACATCCATCGACACAACATGGATGTCAGGGTCCCATGCCACCCTGCAACCATCCCATCTACCAGGTGGTGATAGGCCGAAGACTGAACTGTCTAGCACCCATTAACTCACACACCACAAATTATGTTTTGAACGTCTTCCGACATCCCGGGTCAAGAAGTCGCGCTTCAAGGTCGCCCCAGTCTTTGCATTTGAAGGTGCAGCAAAGAGTTTGGCGTAAAATTCGGCCAGCTCATGCACAAAAATGGCAGCCGCACACGAGAATCGCATCTCCGCGGTTTCCCGCGCCTGTCACAAAATCACACATCACAGCCCTCCCTTGAGGACTACTATGCACATATCATGTCACCCTTTACCACCCCCCTTGCCTTTCCAACACGACGTCTCCCTTTAACCATTGCATGCGTCGGCCGTATCGGGGGCGGGGGAATTTTTTACCCTGTCTCTCTCACCAGGCTCGCATTGCAGCGTTCGGCTGTATACAATCGAGCTGAGAGGACACATCGATCACTCTCTCAAAGACTCGCATTGCAGCATTCGGCTGTACACAATCGAGCTTAGAGGACCCAGCATTCACTCACTCCAACTCAGCCCCTGGCTACGCACAATCGAGCGGAGAGAGCAACGCTATTTGGCGGCAATTAACAGCCCAACGCACCCTCGATCCATTAGGAACATAAGCGGCATTCTCGCACAAGAAAAACATTTGTGCAACAATGAACAGAATACAACCAGTGAGTTCGAACCACACCGAACCTGTAGTTCCAAAATCCCCCTCAACATCAAACACGGGATTTTCTCGGGGCTCAGGGCACCCGAACTCAACAGCAAAGCACCATACACAATGCCCCCAATAATCAATGATATCGAGCAAATGCACTATATGCAGTCCGCACATTGTCAACCATCTCGAGCAATGCTCCATACAGTCCACACATCGTCAACAATGTCGAGCAAAGCACCATGCAGTCCGTACAACCATCGACAATCCTGATCAGTACAACATACAGACCTCATAAGAAATAGACGATTCTGATCAATGCACCGTACACAATAAGCAAAGAATCGGCGATCCCGAAAATGCACAACAAAAAAGGTATTACAAAGCGGACTACTTACACGGACGTCACGGCCATACATCACCCAAAGCAACCCGATCCGCATGCGACAGTCCAACGACGAGTAACAATACACAAATCCGACCCGGCGCACGAAAATAAAGCCTGACGTGTTTGCAAGGGCCGCGTGTGGGAGATGTGTCACGACCCACCTGTGGACCCAGAGGAGCGGAAGACGGCAGGGTGCAAGACGACGGCGTCGCAGAAAGTCTTGCTGTATTCAGCGCGGCATCCTCTTGCGACTTGAGCCGGCAAGCCACACTCAGAGCCGACGACGGGGCGCTTCTGGGCCGAGTGGAGCTCGCCCTCTGCAGGCGTCGATTTTTTTGCGTGAATCGCGTTTTTGGCCGGAAGCGTGATTTTGGCGGGAATCGCGTTTTTGGCCGGAAGTGCGATTTTTGGCGGGAACTGCGATTTTGGCGGGAACCCCGTCCCGCCCGGCGGCGAATGGCGGCCGCTCGCGCCACGTTTCTTGGGTTTCCCGCGCACACGGGCAACAGCAGCGGCTCTTCCAGCACGGAGCTCGGCTAGCAGTGCAGCTGCCGCGAACAAATTTTTTTAAAAAGTCGGTGGGGCTGCGCTGCACGTGCGGAGCTCTTACCCCGGTGGCAGCGGCAGTGGAGACGTAGCTTCCCACCCACTGTAAGCCACCATGCAGTGGGTAACCGGGCTGCAACCCCCCGGGGCCGTCTGGAGAATCTCCCCTCGCCGTCCTCCTCCATCGTAGACGTCTTCGTACGTATTTTTCTTCTAGTTAACATCGCTATCCTAGCCTATTTCCTAACTATTTACCACTTCTGACTCCAGTTGTAGTGTTCAACATGGAGGCACACACACACACTCTGGACTGGGAGGCAACACTTTTATTTAACAACTTCCCTAGCGGGTAACACTGAACGTAACTCGGGTTCTATAGTAGGTGATATGGCTAACTATGTGAGTAGCGAGTTAACTCTAAGACGAAAACTCGGAGACGACGAGACGCGGGACCCAGGCTTGATTCCACCGACGAGTCAAGAGCTCTCTCGGGACTGCCCCTCGATGCTCCTGAGCGTGGGCTGGCTCCGCCTTCGGCCACGCCCCCTTCGAGACCTTTCCCATATGATCTCGACCGAGAATCACGTGCCCTCTCGGGTTTCACTCAGGCTACCACATCCTCACGTGCCCTATCTCAGGCCAGCACCAGGACTATGCCCCCTAGGGCTGACTGACATGCCGTACTTGCTCTGGTGCTAGAGAGAGGCTCCAGACGCACAGTTGCACTACTGTAACAGTAGCTGGCACGAACATCCTAGTGACACCATTTACATCACTACATATGTATGTTGACCTTCTTTTGCACCATACGTAGCCAACCGCGCTAATCGGAGGGAGAACAACAAACTAAACACAAAAAGCAGTTCTAAGCCTTAAGCAAAGGCTACATATATAGAAAAGAGCAATGGAGCAACTATTATTCCCATTTTCATCCTGAGTGAGTCCTTGATGAAAATTCCACATACCTATGGTAGGGATCAGCCTATCCTAATAACAACTGTTGACTTCCCACAAAGTGTTGCTAATTAATCAAATATGTGTGATATGCTGTTTCAACTGCCAAGGTGAGATGCACAAACTTTAACGGAGAAGGAAAGCGTAATTCAGCAGTCTATGTAGTCCAACGGCAGGCATCAAGACCATCCTTAATTTGTTAAACTAGTTTGTGACGTGTGAGTGCACCATACGTTTCAAGATATGCAAAGCGATCATCAAACACCGGCCGCTGATGCCAAGTGGCAGGCACGAGCTTCAGTGGGCCAACAAGATCACAGAAGCTCCATCTGCTCTTTGCATGGGTAGGCATCACAGCCAGTGCCTCGTGGGGGAGGACAGAGGGGCTATTGCCCCCCCATTCGGCAGATTTAGGGTAAACAATAGAGTCCAGTTCCCCACCCCACCCCCCACAGAATCACTGAGGAAGTAGAAGCCAATTGACGTACATTTTACAGTTAAAATAACGTAGAATCAACACATCCCGTTTATCATTTATATAACACCTATAGGATCTTACCAATGCACTGAAGATTACAAATGTTATAGTGTAACTCTAGCAGGAGTTCAAAGCCATGTCCTTGGATGTAAAATGTTATTTAATGGCAGATTTACAACTCTTGTGTTGCATCTGCCTGATAATAACAGATATGTCATCCATTTATTTACGGTTCAAACTTATGTCCACAGCATTTTACGATTGCACAAACAAGATTATTATGTTATGTGTTCTATTTATGCACATTCCTGGAACAATTATATTAAATATCACAAGATTTTGTACTTGCCTCAATTTATGAGACCAATTTGAGATGTTGCTGCATGTTTTTAAAACTTAGTAGTGCTGCAAAAGATAGCATGATGTGACACTACATTGTTACATGCCTGGTTTAATTAACTCTGAATGTAGACCACAGGAAATGTAGCATTCATACAAACAACATACACACTAAAAACCATGCCCACTCCTTCAAACTAATTCTTATCATTCTTTAACATAAGTGAAATGTAACCGCTCTCTTTTTATGTGACGCATTTATTCATTGCCCTTTTCCATTTTTCTAAATAATCTTAATTTTGTCAACATCCAAAATATACCTTTTAAGTTACCAAGTACATTTCGATTATGTTTCTCAAAATACTGAAACATTGTTCTGCCAAAAGAGGAATAAAACAAGTATTTCTGTATATACCTTTGTAGGTCAGTTGCACATGTTGGAGGCCAGCCAAAACAATAGGTTCAACTCAATTTAACATTTGATTTACATTGGCTGTATAGGACATAAATGCATTAGTATTATCACCAATCAAGTGTTCAAATTTCAATTCACTCCCCTGGCATCCTTGTTGAAGAACACGCTTCAGGCAAAGACCTGTCCTATAGAGGTGTACAGAAGCAAATGGCAGTTGAGGTGAGAAAGGTCAGTCAAATCCTGCTGTTTTCAATTGAGCTCCATAAATATTAGCCTGAGTGCTACATGTAGCTGGAAACCTCAAATTTCATCACCAAAAATCGTAGTGTTCTGGAAAATATTGGTGCTCTTTGTGTTGGTGAGAATCCATTACGGTACACACCATGAAATACTGTACAGCAGAGCCCTTTACATTTTTACTTGGAATATTTTGCATTCAAAAGCGTGCCACATTTTTTATGGAGGAACCACTATCCAAAGGCCAACCGCATACACACACAGACTACAATCAGCATGAAAAAATACTTTGACAAAATGTAACGGTAACAAAGGAATGCAAGTACATTTCACAATTACAGCGAGGGAAAAAAGTATTTGATCCCCTGCTGATTTTGTACGTTTGCCCACTGACAAAGAAATGATCAGTCTATAATTTTAATGGTAGGTTTATTTGAACAGTGAGAGACAGAATAACAACAACAAAAATCCAGAAAAACGCATGTCAAAAATGTTATGAATTGATTTGCATTTTAATGAGGGAAATAAGTATTTGACCCCTCTGCAAAACATGACTGAATACTTGGTGGCAAAACCCTTGTTGGCAATCACAGAGGTCAGACGTTTCTTGTAGTTGGCCACCAGGTTTGCACACATCTCAGGAGGGATTTTGTCCCACTCCACTTTGCAGATCTTCTCCAAGTCATTAAGGTTTCGAGGTTGACATTTGGCAACTCGAACTTTCAGCTCCCTCCACAGATTTTCTATGGGATTAAGGTCTGGAGACTGGCTAGGCCACTCCAGGACCTTAATGTGCTTCTTCTTAAGCCACTCCTTTGTTGCCTTGGCCGTGTGTTTTGGGTCATTGTCATGCTGGAATACCCATCCACAACCCATTTTCAATGCCCTGGCTGAGGGAAGGAGGTTCTCACCCAAGATTTGATGGTACATGGCCCCGTCCATCGTCCCTTTGATGCGGTGAAGTTGTCCTGTCCCCTTAGCAGAAAAACACCCCCAAAGCATAATGTTTCCACCTCCATGTTTGACGGTGGGGATGGTGTTCTTGGGGTCATAGGCAGCATTCCTCCTCCTCCAAACACGGCGAGTTGAGTTAATGCCAAAGAGCTCCATTTTAGTCTCATCTGACCACAACACTTTCACACAGTTGTCCTCTGAATCATTCAGATGTTCATTGGCAAACTTCATACGGGCATGTTTATGTGCTTTTATTGAGCAGAGGGACCTTGCGGGCGCTGCAGGATTTCAGTCCTTCATTGGGTAGTGTGTTACCAATTGTTTTCTTGGTGACTATGGTCCCAGCTGTCTTGAGATCATTGACAAGATCCCCCCGTGTAGTTCTGGGCTGGTTCCTCACCGTTCTCATGTTCATTGCAACTCCACGAGGTGAGATCTTGCATGGAGCCCCAGGCCGAGGAGATTGACAGTTCTTTTGTGTTTCTTCCATTTGCAAATAATCGCACCAACTGTTGTCACTTTCTCACCAAGCTGCTTGGCAATGGTCTTGTAGCCCATTTCAGCCTTGTGTAGGTCTACAATTTTGTCTCTGACATCCTTGGAGAGCTATTTGGTCTTGGCCATGGTGGAGAGTTTGGAATCTGATTGATTGATTGCTTCTGTGGACAGGTGTCTTTTATACAGGTAACAAGCTGAGATTAGGAGCACCCCCTTTAAGAGTGCTCCTAATCTCAGCTCGTTACCTGTATAAAAGACACCTGTATAAAAGACACCTGGGAGCCAGAAATTTTTCTGATTGAGAGGGGGTCAAATACTTATTTCCCTCATTAAAATGCAAATAATTTTTTTACATTTTTGACATGCGTTTTTCTGTATTTTGTTGTTGTTATTCTGTCTCTCACTGTTCAAATAAACCTACCATTAAACTTATAGACTGATCATTGCTTTGTCAGTGGGCAAACGTACAAAATCAGCAGGGGGTCAAATACTTTTTTCCCTCACTGTAATTAAGAATTGCATGGTGGTGTAAGCGAGTTTACAATTTAAAGTTTATCTTTTTAAATGTTGCTTAATCTCATCTGTCCTTCTGTGTTGTTTCTGGACGTCATATTTGGTCTGCAATTAGTTTATTCTTGAAAAAATTCGCTGAAATACCACTCTGTTCTGGTACCACAATATGTACTGCCATGGTTAACGAAGATGAGGACATTACATATTGTTAATATTTGACAGCATCTGAGAGCTTCTGGAAAATTGTATGAATTAAGATAGGTGGGAAGATACCTCAATATAGATAACATGTATTTTTTTAAAATTAAAATCCATTATTCTTTTAGTTGAAACACTTGCAACAAATCGTCTGTACCCAATTCAAAACAAAAATTACAGCTCCGCGTGTGCTCACAACAGCAATACTGTACAGTAGTTGTTTTTTTAATTCAGAAAGTATATTGTTGAAGTTTACATTGGGAAAAAAACATGTCGAACAATTGTATTTTATAACGTCATTAACATCAAACAAATTAAAAAAAAGGTAGATCAGTACACCTAAGTATTATCCTCATGCTAGATTTAATTACAGCTGGCTAGTTTTAGAGATTTTCCAAAGATAAAACTGTCGTAAAATACAATTGAAAAAAATGAAGGTTTTTAGTGGAAAAATAACAACCACACAATTGACTATAAAATGTTCACAATGGAAGGGATGTCAAAAGGCATACTCTGTGCGTTTCTGAAATTCTGGGCGCGCACAACAGATTTGAACAGCTCTGTGGTTCAAAATCGACATGGTTGTTGCTGGTTGGTCAGCTGTCAACCGTAATGGCTTAGACGAGGGGAGAGAAAGCTTCACAGCCGCACCATCGGCTGATCACTGAGTATATACTGCATTGGTGAAACGTAACGCAATTCAAGTGGATTGACGGTTAGGTTTGAAAGGCAAAAGCCCAAGAAAGATTGGACAAAAGTAGGGGTCAGTTAGACGACCAGTTTAAAAGAGGAAGTCCTGATTGGTAGAGAGGGATACTGCGGTTAGGAAAGATTGAGAAAGCTCTAAAAAATGTAAGGGGTGCACTCTGAGGCGGATTTGAATATTCGTTCTGCTCGAGCATGTGTCACAGTGTAGCTTGGCTTAATAAAGAACACTACATGCGGTACAGTGCCTTTCAATTGAAACAAATATTGATGGAAATGTGTGATGCTGAAATTTTCAGAACTCTGGTTTTGGGCATAAAAAATAATACTGTTCTAAAATTGTAGATTTCGCATTCAACACAACAGCAGTTATCCTAGGGATAAACCGACCATCATTACGTGAATTTGGAATGTCCACTTGCTGGCTCAGGGCTGCAATGAAGATAAGTGCCACCGGCAATACTAATTTCGTCATGGTGACATGCACCTGTAACTTCAGACGTTTAAATTTTTATTTTGTTTGATTTATTACCAGGGAGGAACAAACATTATTTATCTCCCACGATGTTTCATATTGGTATTCTTTGCTTATTTCAAAGAATGATGGTTGGCATGTTGATAGATGAACGGAAACACAATTGAGAAAAATCATTTAGGATTCTCCATTGAGAGGTTTCTAATGGTTGAGCATCGCTTATAATGTGTAGTGACATAGAATGGGTCACTAGGGCGCATAGCGCTGGTTACTGGTAGAGAGCGAGATTGTGGGTGTAGTAGCCCGGTCTACCAGCAGGGCACATGATAGGCCGGGGTAAGGGATGTCGGGTAAAGGTGACAGAGGGGACACGTCGGGTGAAGCCCAGAACCTTCTGGTAGGTTCCAGAAGGGGGCGTGGCCGAGGGCAGAGCCAGGCCACGCTGGCGAGGATAAAAGGGAGGTCCCGACGCTGGGTCGGGGCTGTCGTTTGGAATTGAACCCGTCGTCTACGCCATTCTTTGTCCCCGTTTTCACATCCTCGGCATTGTGGGTCAGGCAGTGTGCCGGCTGTCCGGACCCTGTACTGTGGAGGTGCAGAATAAACGTGTGTGCCTCCTACTATTAGTGTCTCTGAAGTAACTACTAAATATGTAAAAATTATCTGTGTGTGTTTACGGTGCAAAATAAGTTCAACATACAAACATCTCATTTCCTTTGTTAGTATTTTAAAATCTAAAATAAAATAAATATGACAATCATCATATTAAGTCAGTCTTTGGGTAATGTTGTTAGTGCCGATTTATTTAATTCGGTAATTATATCTGAAGGTCATTCCAACAAGCACATTATTTTGAAACCCATCTTCACAAGATTACCCTTTTCATGTACTGATGTTTGCATTTTTCCTTGGCTTTTAATGACTTGGTAATGTGTGCAAGCAATGTGCAGAGATAATCAGGAGTTGTATCTCCAAATTTCTCAGCTGTAAAATAGGCCCCCAAATGTGAAATAATGTACGTACAAATTATGGTGTGAAAAGTCAATAATTAGCTCTTTAGTACTGTATGTCAAGTGGAAATGTATTAGCTGTGATTCAATTCCTACTGTACAGCTATTAGTAGCACTCATATTCACCATGCAGTGTTTAACCACCACACTGGAGGTTAAACACTGCACTGCCTGCTTAATTATTTTCTCGCACTGCTCATCTTTGGAAAATCCCTCCCATCCTCTTATACCCCGCAACTTCTATCGCCTTGCTCCGTTAAATATGATCATTGTCACATCACAACTTTAACGGGACAGTACCGCGTGTTTCTGCTCACTCCACGTGTTGCGCCTTTGGGCCTGTGTTTAGCAACTAAGAAAACAAGTGGCAAACTTCTAGGCCAGATCTGCCGTTTTCTCTGGCATCACAATAAGCTCTCAACTGCCCAAACTAGCAAGAATGGTGGGTGCACTTTTAGCCAACTGTGACAGTGCATTGCAAGGCCGTAATTATCATATATTCAAATGTGCTCAAAATGTCCCCCCCCCAATATATTGATTTAAAAAATGTTTTTTTTATTGAATTGCTTTGCTAGGACAGGCAACCACGCACTGCCGTCCGAAATAATCATTAGCAAATGTAATCATAACTAAACTTAATAAATTGCAATTATTATTACACCGGTTCTAGCATTACGCAGTTCTGCATGTGGTTTGTCCAAGTGGTGTTGCCGTATCTCAGCAGAAGCCGTTGCTCGACTGCTGTGGGTAGGTACAATCAATGTCGGACACTGTCCTGTCTCTCCATTTCATTACTTTCAAATGTATTAAAAAGTGGAAAACTAGAATGCAATATGAGTGTTACGTCGGCTATATCACTGTCGAGTGGAATCAAACGTTTTTTGGTGAAAACGGGCCGATCTGCGATTGCTAATCAATCAACCATCAGTAACGTTAGCTATCATAGCTAAGTAAGTTACTTGGAAAGTTAATTAGCCACACATTTACCCAGGGACCAACAGTGGCACTCACGAGCGTATCCAACTAACGTTAATGTCTTTATTACGTTATATTTGTCAGAAAGCCCACGTGATGTCTGAGTAAA